GAGAAGAATGAAATGCTGCATGCATTGCCATGGTGCCTTGTGGAAGGGATGTTATTGATTGTAAGGCTTGACCCTAACATACCCTCACTTTCCAGGCTGGATTCTTTGAGTTTGTTTTAGTGGTCCTTCTAATTCCAAGCAGAGTTTGGGATTGGCAAAAGGATTTTTGCAACGTAAGTTTTCCTTTGCTGCTGCAATTATCAGCATGATATTGGAAACGGCTAAATTTAGTTTTCCTTGTGAGATGTATCCAGCTCAATCACTTAGAATGCACAGCTCTTTTCACAACACGCCTAGCTTACGCTGATGTATCAAGGGGGACATGCTTTGGAAGAGAGAGAGAGATGGTTTACTTCAAGGTATGTCAACATATTTTACATAAAAAGATGTTTGTAACAGGTTTGTTCATACTTTTCAAAAAATAAGAGAATATAAGATTAAGGAATGCACATTATTTTCACCTTAACTGTCTTATGTATGTGTAAAGGATTGCTCAGGGACAATAAGCGATATTATTGTGAAAGAAACATTGGAAATACATATTTAAAAAAAACGTAAAAATCATCGTAAAAATCAGCCCTCCACATGCACCCTGACTGCTTCTTTGCAGCATCACATGGCGCATTTTGCTGGAACAATCAGACTCGTCCAAAGATAAGCTAAGTCAGGTCCATGATGGAAGCTCAATATGAGAACCAAACAAACGCATAGTCCAAACACCCAAACCCACCACTGCCGTCCTGCTTGCCCTGCTCTTTCTGCTCCGAAACCCGGCGAGCATGCTCACATAGCTCCAGCTGCTGCCTGGACACGGAAACTCGACTTTTCGGTGCGGAGCTTGACTCTACAATTTTGTACAAGAACGGCACGCGTTTATACAAATGTGGAAGCTTCACGAGGACAGGAGGCTCAAAAATGAAGAACCTATCAAAACGGTCACAAGGGCAAGTGCGACTAAACCCACCAGTGCTTGAACCAACTTACTGAATCATTGATTGGAAGGATTGAAGGCAGTCAATGATCAAAGGAAGTAGAAGTCAAACTTCCGACAATATGGACAGATGAGCAGAGATGGGAAGAGTCAGAGAAGAGAAGAGAAGAAGAAAGAAGATCAAAAAAGAGAAAGTCTCAGAAGAAAGAAGATTCAGGTGCGCGAAAAGGTAGGGAAGTCGCGAAACATTGTGTTTTCCAATGGTTTGTGGCTCCGGAGGGTCGAAAAGTAGGCTCGCGAAAGCGGCGGGTGCGGAGCCAGCTGGCCAGATGAGAGATGAAAAATTGCACGCCGTTGTGGCACGACGCACATTTCCAAGTCAAAACGTACAAAGCACCTCAGCTCCGGAGCGCTTTTAGAAGTTGCGCTTTCGAAAAAGTGCACGCCGTTGTGGCGCGAAGCACATTTCCAAGCCAAAATGTACAAAACACCTCAGCGTCGGACAACTTTTGGACGTTGAGATGTCGAAAAAGTGCACGCCGTTGTGGCGCGAAGCACATTTCGAAGTCAAAAGTGCAAAAAACTGAGGGTTTCGGAACACTTTTGGACGTTCAGATGTCGTTTTGTGTGGCAGGCGCAAGGGATTGTGCACCTTCTCAAAAGTGAGCCGAACGTGAGGGTTTTGTATGTTTTGTAGCTTTTCGGCAAGCGTGGGGCATTTGAAGAGGGTGTGCCAAGATGCATTTTCCGTGGCAGGCGCAGTACAAGAGACATGTTCATCAGAGATGTTAGGAGGTGAGGGCGCTGATTTCCTGAAGGGTTGCATTTTGGAGCATCAGATCTGTAGGTTTGCTAAGATGATTTTGCGTGGCAGGTGCACCGCTTCGTATGGCCTGGCATCAATTTTTCGTGGCAGGCGCAGTATTTTAGACAGGTGGAGTGGAAAATCGCAAAACCGATTGGTACGAGGCAGTCAGCTCTGCACTCAACTTTCCATTTTTGAAGGACGTCTCACAGAATTGCTTCGTTTTTGGTGTTGTCAAGTTCAAAAATTGAGGAAGTCTCGCAGAATTGCTTCGTTTTGGATGATGTCCAGTTGAAAAATTGAGGAAGTGTCGCAAAATAGCTGCGTTTTCAAGCTTGCAGATAGACACACAGATAGACAGACAGACAGACAGGCAGACAGACAGACAGACAGATAGATAGACAATTACAACTACAACTACAATTACCACTACACTACACTACACTACACTACACTACACCACTGCTAAAGTTACAAATACAAATATACTACGCTACATTACACTACACTAATTGGACGACACTACACTAATTACATCTAATGACACTACACTGATTACACTAACAACTGCAACAACAACTATTACCTAGTCACTACCACAACTACAACTACAATGACAGCTACACTACACTACACTGATTACACTGCAGCACGCTACAACTGCAACCACGCTACATTACACAACACTACGCTACACTGATTGCATTGCATTACGCTACAACTACAGTTGCAGCTGCAACTGCAACTACCACTACATTACATTACGCTACACTACACTACACATACTACACGACACTACACTACACGACGCGACACTACACTACACTACACATACTACACGACACTACACTACACTACACTACACGACGCGACACTACACTACACTACACTACGCTACACTACACTACACTACACTGCACCAATTACACTGCACTACACTACAACTACAACTACACTACCTTACACTAAACTACACTACACTGTACCACACTACACTACACTACACTACGCTACGCTACACTACACAACATTACGCTGCACTACACTACGCTAATTACACCACACCACGACTACAAATGCAACTGCGCTTGCCAAAAAAATGATTTCACTACATTACAGCTACAGCTCCACTACACTACATTACAACTACAGCTACAACTGCAACTACAACTGCGCTACACCACACTACATCCAGCAGTTGCGGTAAGGTGACCACTGCAACCATTGCAACCATTCCAAAAAACACAGCTCCAACCACCTGTCGGTCCATCAGTGGATTCGCTCTGCCATCCGTGATTCACAACAACCAACCTCTCCTATAGGTTTCCTATTTTTGAAACTTCCGCCACCGCCTTGTTCGGTGCTACCGGTAGCTTTTTGGGAGGTGGTTGGCGGTTTGATTGAACAATCAAGGAGATGAAGGCTAACCTGAATAAGAGGGTGATCACATGACTGACCCCTCCGGTTGGATCCGTACATGACAAGTGCACTAGTGAGTGATTGAATGCACATACCCCATCAACCACATTATAATACATTATCCTCCTACTCCCCCCCACAGTGTTTGGGGTCCCTTGCCGGGATGGTTTGGGGTTTATCTACTTGGGGTTGCTTTGCGGTTTGTTTAAAGGTTAGTTTTTAAGGATGGTTTACGATTTGTGTAGGTGCTGTTAACAATCTATTTAAAATTATCTTAAGATTTGGGGTTGGTTTGTAGTTTGTTTTTGCGCTATTTAGGGTTGGTTGTTTTTTTAAATGGTTGGCTTAAGGATTATTTTGGGTTGGTTTAGGCTTTATGTAGGCGTTGCTTCATTTGTTTAGGGTTGAATCAGGGGTTTACTTAGGGTTGGTTTAGGCTTAGTTTAGGGCTGGTTTAGGTTTGTTTAGGTTTCGTTAAAAACTTGTTTCGGTTTGGTTTGGGGTTTACTCAGACTTGGTTTAGGGGTTACTTAAGCTGTGTTTAAGGTTTATCTAAGTTGCGCTTAAACTGACTGAAATATGGTTTGGTGTGATCAGGGTGTAATTCGCGGTGTTTGAAGTTCTCTTTGGAGTTGGCTTGACATATATTTATGGTGGGTTAGGGTTTAGTTGAGGCTGGCTTAGGGTTCATTTATGCTTCGTTTAAGACTTATTGATGGTTGGGCTATTTAAGGTTAGTTTAGGGTTTATTTGGGGCTGGTTTAGGGTTGGTTTTTGGATTTATGTAGGGTTGGTTTGTGATGTTTGTGGTTTATTTGGATTTATGTAGGGTTGGTTCGTGGTTTGTTTAGCTTTGTTGTTTCCCTGCACTCAGAAGCGTCTGAAGCCTGTGTGTGATTCAGGCTGCAGGCTGAAACATGCCACGCGTGAAACATGCAACCGAAGGCCATACTAAGGTTATGGGCAATTTTGAGAGCCGCAGGCCCGAGCCCACAAAAACATTTATTTTTTCAAAAAACTATCCTTTTGGTTATCATCAAAATCATCTCAAAGTCTTCGGCTGCTTGGACAGCTGTTTTTGTGTATTGATGTGGATCACCATTGAAATTTTCACCAATAGACAACTATCGCCCGGATCCTCGGACATGGAGAAGAGCCTCCAGAGCTGCTGCGGCCCTTTTCGGGAGCTGGAAAAATGGTCAAATATGGTCAAATTGCGTCAAATAGAGAAAAATATCGATTTTCTTTCTTTATTAATGTATTTTCGATTTGTTTTCGTTTTCTCGTTTTTTTTCGGTTATTTTTTCGTTTTTGTTTCCGGTTCTTGTTGGTTTTTCGTTTTTGAATCAAATTTGACAACATCCAAAAATCGCAAAAAACCTTGAGTTTTTTCAATGTTTTTTCATTTTGTTCGTTTTTTTTCGATTTATTAGCATTTTTTGTTCGAGTTTTTTTCGAATTATTTTCGAACCGAGCAAACACTTTCAATTGATTTTCAAATTATTCTCGAATCACAAAAAAAAATCAAATCATATCGAATTAAAAAAGAATTTTTGAATTATTTTCGAACCTGAAGCGCGTTTTGATTTTGTTTTAGAAATTATACCGGTGCGATTGCCACAGTGATCTTCGCGACCCTGGCAGGATTTGTTGCAACCAGCTAAAAGTCATGTTTTGGGAACCTTCCGTGACGATGGAAAACTAACCTCCTACGGTTTCGGCAAAATTGGTGATGATTTTGTGATGTGTTGGGCGATGATAACAATGATATACAATGATAATAACATATAATAACTTGTTTTTTGATTTCAAATGCGTGGCTAGCTGAAATTGTCATAATACTAAGGAGCTCCATCGAGAATAGCCAAAGGTGCATCAGGCTCCGGTGGGGCCAAAGCAGCAGAGGGAACCAAGTCCACTCGTTGATCGCCAAACAAATGCAGGAACAAAGGTGACGTATCAGACCAGCTTGTTCGATTACCTGCCAATTGGATCAAAGCCTCAGGACGCATCAGAGCAGCATGCAAGGGTGCCCCCTTGAACAACATCCAAAATTGCGCAAAGTCATTGTCAGCTCTCCAGGGATGAAACCTTCCAGGGTGTCGAATACCTGTCGTTGGCAGCAGTTATTGTTCATTGATGCCACCAAATATTTAAAAATCTATTCAAAGTTACTTTCTGGTTTCTTTAGGGGTGCCTTAGGGACTATCTAGGGTTCGTTTAAGGTTGGCTTGGGCTTTATTTATGGTTGATCTAAGGTTGGTTTAGGTTTCGTTTAAACCTTATTTAGGGATATTTAGGGTTGGTTAAGGGGTTATTTGGGGTCTTCTTTTATGGTCGGTTCAATCAGTGTTTATTTAGAGTTGTTTGAGGCATCCGGCTGAGATGCCGCCCTTGGAAGGGTTGCTTATTATGAGATGTGCCATTCACGATCCCCTGGAAGGGTTGCAAATTTGAAAGATGAAGGTTGCGAAAATGAGGGTTCAAGAATTGAATTTAGTTGTATGTCTTAAGTTTCCTGCAAGATGCGTTACGTAGTTAATATGCTGCACATGCTCTCTTACGGTGAACAGGGGGGGTGTGATAACGTTCTTGACGAGTACAACAAAGGGCCCACGGAACTTGTTGCCGCTGTTAACATGTTGCACATGCTCTCTTATGGTCAACAGGGGGGTGGAGGGGGGTGTGATAGCGTTCTTGACGAGTTTAACACAGGGCCCACGGAACTTGTTGCCGTTGTTAACATGTTGCACATGCTCTCTTATGGTCAACAGGGAGGTGGAGGGGGGGTGATAGCGTTCTTGACGAGTCTAACACAGGGCCCACGGAACTTGTTGCCGTTGTTGACATGTTTCCGACGCGCTCTCGGCGGTTGCATGCCCGAACCATATTTGGCACTGATGCTTCGAAAGATGAGGAAGAATGGATGGAATCTGGTGGATGTTTGCATGGGAAACTTGAAAATCATAAATTCCCCATATTTTTTGTGCTCGAAGAACAAAAACTGATTCACTGCGCAGGCGAAATGCAAATCTTTGAACTTGAGTCACATTGCCTGCCAATCGAAATGAATGTCCATGTTGCAAATATTTTTTGACAAGTCCCACAAATACCAGCATTTTGTCTCTTAGCCTCGAAAATCTCAATTTCAAATTTGTCACCCTTACAAGGGCGGCGAGTCAACCGGTTGCCTTGTTTTACGGCACCCGAGTTCCTAAAGGACGGAAGGACCAAGGGGTCCAAGGGACCAAAGACTAGAGGACCGGGAGATTCAAAAGCCACAAGATTTGAAACGGGCCAAAACATTGCACCGGCGACGGAAATATAAAAATCCTTTTTTTTGATACCTTATCCTTCTTGATTCCTTAAATATTTATTTTTGATGCCTCAAATATTTTTTGAACCCTATGCTGATGTAGCATGCTGCAGCATGCTGCAACATGATGTAGCATGTAGCATGTTATGGCATGCTACAGTGGCATTTGAACCCGCTGGGCCTGAGATTGGAGTTCTCCTGCTGCAGCCGCTGTGCATCCTCGGCCTCGCAAAAATTGTACATTGCAAACAACAAATCATGTCTGTCTACAAATCATCTGAAACCTTCACGATGCATTCTTGCCAATGGGCGAACCCGTTGATGACAAGTCTCGAGGTTGATCCGCAAGATCTTACAAGATGGTACATGCACAACTTTTATAGGCTGCAAAACTGGGTTGATTTGAGACTGTAATGAAAAGGCTCGAAGCCACAGGGTCCCCGATTTTAAAACGGCTGTGTGATTTTGAGCTCCGCTTTTTGCAAACGTTGCTTTTGCTAGGGCGACAATCGCGCGCGAGCTAAATGCGGTATAAAAATCGATGCTTGCAAATTTCCAAAACTACAATAATAGTTCGTTTGCAACGCCATCAGGCACGAAGTGCAGCCTTCTATCCCCGTCTGTCAAGCACGCCCGCCCACGTGAGCGGAGTCAGACTCAGCCACCCGGGTCAGTCGCGCCAAATGTCGGAGTCGAGAACCCCTCACGACAAACTCAGTCACCGCTGCACACCAGCACAGGAGGCACGGAGACCATGAACGAGAAACAGAAAGTCAACAACAAAGAGTCGGTCACCCTTCGGAAGCCTTGGGGAGGATACAGGAACCCATGGGAAAACGGAAAGTCAACAACAAAGAGTCTTCCACCCCTGGCAGGAGGATCCAATCCCGGGGAAAACGGAAAGTCCGCAACAAAGAGTCGGTCACCCCTGCAAGCCGGCAGGAGGATCAAGGAACCCATGGGAAAACGGAAAGTCAACAACAAAGAGTCTTCCACCCCTGGCAGGAGGATCTAATCCCGGGGAAAACGGAAAGTCCACAACAAAGAGGCGGTCACCCCTGCAAGCCGGCAGGAGGATCAAGGAACCCATGGGAAAACGGAAAGTCAACAACAAAGAGTCTTCCACCCCTGGCAGGAGGATCTAATCCCGGGGAAAACGGAAAGTCCACAACAAAGAGGCGGTCACCCCTGCAAGCCGGCAGGAGGATCAAGGAACCCATGGGAAAACGGAAAGTCAACAACAAATAGCCCCTCAAGAAATCCCAAAACACTTAAAGAAACCCCAAGCCAAGACTAAGTAACCCTTGAATAGACGCTAAAGCAAGCCTAAAACAAACCGTGACAAAAGCCTACATTAACCCAAAACCAACCCACATACACATCCCATGGCCCTCCAACTGAAAATCGCTTCAAGCGAAATTTCCCAACGTTTGACACCAATAAGCCGCGTGCGAACATGAAACTCGCTGCTGCTCGCTGAAAGACATCTAAGCGATTGTACGTGTGTGTGTGCCTTCATGTAAACTCTGCGCCATGAACAGATAATGGTTGGATTTGTGCACTTGCACTTCTTCAATCATTCTTTGCCATGCACCAGGGATTGACAAATTCAGCAATACATTCAAACATGCTCAAAGATGCAAAATTAATCACTGGGCGATAGTGAATTTGCCGGCCTACCGGCTTTTAGTATTGAACATTATTGAACGGTCTTGGTCTGTATTCTGTTGTGTGGCTGTGCTTGTGCTAGTGTTCTCCTGCTACGTGCTTTTCCGTGGCCATGCTTCCATCAATCTAACCAACCACTGGGCACCAGCATGCTTGCACGTTTTTCACTGTATTTTTAAAAGGTTGTGGTACACTGCTTTTCTTTTACGTCAAGCATTTCTTGCACCTAGCACGCTTCTACACCAACCAGCTTCGTACTGTACCGAGCATAAAATCTTTTCAAACCTGCATTAACAAACCGGAAATTCTACACTGAGGAATGTTTAGGCACACATAAGATATTCTTGCCGCACCTTCTCTTGCGTCAAATAGCTAGCCCCTACACAAACAAACTTTGGCACAGCACCTGCTTCCACACTGAAAAATCCTGACACAATGCAACCGACCAACCATCGCCAACCAATTTTTAGAGCAACTAGGAACTATAGAGTTTTACCTGAACTAGTTTTTCACACAAACACATCTTTACACCCAACCAACATTGAAAACAAAATTACATAAAATTACAGCATATTACAACCGGCTCAGGTTTCTAAATTGGGACCTCTTCTTCTCTGCAAACTACAAGTACTGGGCTAACCTGCTATTGCCAGCGGGCTTGCCCAAGGCAATTAATTAAATGTAAATGGTCCAACCAGGGCCAATGTCCTTTTGCCAGTTCTGCTGAGGGGCACCTCGCTGGCGCGCAAAGCTTCAGCCAATGCCGCAAGAGACCTGAAGTTGACCCATGTCCATTTACCAACCCTTAGAATAACTCAAATAAATACCTGGCGCAGCTGGTACTGGTGCTGCGGTCTTACGACCGTACTCAGGATTTTACGAATTTGTATGTCGTATCTGTGTAATCATTAGTAATCCGTCAATGGGCTTGGAGTGACGCCGCCACCATGAAGAGGCACTCAAAACTCCCATCAAGTCTCAAATGGTTTCTGAAATGTTAAACAACAATTATGCTTCAACGTGTCTCCTGAAGTTTGTATCGGTCTATGAAAAGCGATTAGACCTTGCTGCCTATTCAGGGGCTACACCCTGCGAAGACGTTGAAGTGACAAATGCAAGACAAATGTAAATACAATCAGTGCTGTAGCTGTAAATGTAGATAAATACAATGTGCGTCAAGGTACAAGGTTTTTCATTTGACTGGATGAATTCAAACGCAAGTATCGCTCTATGCACCCTAGTCTCCAGCAGGAGACAGAACCTGAGGCTGCAGAATACAGTATGTGTTTTGGTTTGGTCTTGGATTTTGTTGGTTGCTTGCTTTCGCCCTTTGTTGCGTATGGCAGGGAACACGTTGAATACTCAGCATGCCCTACAATATTTGATTTGCATCAAGACTCTGGAATCCAGATGTGCCATGACCGAAAAACACGGCGACAGTGTCTCCAGGAGGCCTTGCGCTTGGAAGCGTTTTTTGAAATCCATGAGTACCGCAACTATCAAAAGACTATTGGTTTTCTAGCCTCCTTGTTCATGCTTTCCAAGTTTTGAATCCTTGATAAGCCTTGATATATAAAGGTTGCTGAAGGAAGTGGATATAAACAGATGTTGACAAAGTTTCCAGCATGTTCACTCCTTTTTCATATTTTTTTCCAACAACGGCTTCGCATCCTCTATGCTTTAAATACTCTAAGAAAATTTGAACAGGATTTTTTTCCAGACCCCTATGGCCCGGACCCACTATTATTTTCTATTATTGGGGATATTGGGAAAAAAAATCCGATTCACTCACTTTAAGGTAAAAAGTCAGTCCCGTTGACGTGGTCTGCGTTTGCATGCTGGCATGTGCGTGTACATACATACACACACAAACATTCTCATTCTTTCACTCACGTCTTGCGATGTCTCTAGTCCTGTTGTTTCATTTCCTTTGTGTCCAAAACCTTGTACACTTTGTGGCGGGAAACCATTTTTCAACAAGAATTTGTTCAATTTTGAAATATCTGGTGCCAGATTCCCGCATGCCACGGTGGAAAGGGTTCCGCTACTCAATTTCTAGGGTCAATGTTGGGAGATTTCCAGGGGTCTGTTCGGATACGATGCAGAATTAGCTGCAGGAAAGCACGGTATCCGAACAGACCCCTCCAAAACCTGCATTTTGGAGGGGTCTGTTCGGATACCGTGTAAATTACCACGGTATCCGAACAGACCCCTTGGGATGAACACCTTCTTAGAATGGAACTTCCATGCCAAAATCATAAAAAAAATCTTTGGAAGACAATCTCAAACTCAAAATCTTTGTTTTTGACTTGGGGTCCCCTGAAGATGCTGATACACCCACTTTCAATGCTGGTAGGGATATCGGCCCTATTTGGCATTTGTTTTGTATCTTTGGATTGATAGAAGTTAATTTCGACTCAAGGTGCCACAAATCTCCTAATTCAAGTTGAATGTCAAGAAATGAGTGCCTCAACGGCTAATCCCATGAAATTGGCATCCTGGGGGTCCTTCCAATCCACACTACTAAAACATCAGGCTGGCCCGCTTGGGGTCTGGAAATTAGGAGGCATAGGGGTCTGTTCAAAAGTCCTGTTCGATTTTTTTTAGAAATACGGCATTTGAAAAAACATGTTCTCAGGGCGCTCCACAAATGTCCCTTAGACCTGCGCCTACAGAGTCATGAACGGCACTACCCTGCCGCAGTGTAAGTAGCGCGTGTGCGAGTTAACATGACCGTTACTGCCCCGCCCCACCCTATAGCATCCAATATTATCAATGTTTATGTTTTTAGTTTTAAGCATAAAGGCATGCATGGCCTCCCCGGGGCGCTGTTACCAAAAACATATCAACCTTCAAGCGCAGCCAGGTCACCACATGCACATTATTGCACATTCAACCCATTGAACAATTCAAATCGCAATCGCTGAATGCACGTGGCTTTGATATTGATATGAGCACAAAGTACATCCTCAGCCATTTAAAAAAAATCCTGGGGGGCCAGGACTCTCGACAACGTTCGTTGCGAATTTCCGCATCTTGTAGCTGCTGAAAAGTTTCCTGGAAATCGGCTAAGACATGGCTGAAAACATAGTCAAGTGATGTCAAATGGTTTCTGAATCACCGGCCAATGGGTGCAGTAATGACAATGATTTGTGTTTTTTTCTGCCTAAGCAGAAAGAAACGCAGAAACACAGGACACAAACAACAATCCAAAGACCAGCTATGTTGCTTGCAGCGAATGGCCCAGGCGCATTTGAACTGTTGACCCTTGATTTTTCTAACGCAAGTGGTAGATCCAAACATCTTTCCTCAATGGCGGTGCAATCAAAGGGCGAGCAAGGCAAATGCACCACCAGCTTCTCCTGTCCAGGGGCTAGTCTGTCATCCAGGTCTCTTTTCAAAGGTTTCAGATATAAATCCCAAATGGTCTTGATGAGAAACTAGAACAATCTAGAATAAGCCGAATTAATTGCAAGAAGTTTCAAAGATAAATTCCGAGTTTTGGATTGCTTTCCAGTAGCATGGCCAAAGAAAAGGAACCACACTGAAGGGTAGGGAAGAGAAAAGAGTAGCCCACCGAAGAGTAGAGAAGAGCAGAGGAGAAGAGCAGTGTAGAGACATGTAGAAAAACAAACTATATAACATATATACATATATATATATTAAAATATAGTAAAGTATAACAGAGAAGCCTCGCATCCACTCAACCTGACATCTTCCCAGGCCTACATGAATAAACTCAACCTCACAACTTCTCAACAGATTCACTTAACGTCACCCTCGTCTAACCCAACATTCTCCACCTCACATTCGCTCAGCCTCATAAATATGTGCTTCTGCGATTATCGTTTGCAACTTTGTGCAGTGGAACTGTTGCATCAAAGTGATTCTGAGGTACTTCTGCGCATTGCTGCCACGATGTTTTGCAGATCCTGTTTGCTTTGTCCGATGGAATGGTTGCATCATAGAACGTGTTGGTGGTTGGTGAAAGGCAAGGTCGATTGTGCGCGGCCTATGGGCATCTTGGTTCGGTCTCGAAATGCACGCACGCAGTGGACCCGAGGCATCAAGTCAAGGCGACTTCTGCCTGTTTGATATTCTCCATCTATTGCGCTTTGCAGCTCCTCAAAACTCGGTCGGATTGGAACTGCTGCAGCGAAGCTTTGCGTGTTGGTGCTTGCAGCTTACCGAAACTCTGTGCAATGCAATGGCACCATCGAGATGATTCTGCGCTACCTTTGCGCATGTTGTGATGCTTTGCGACCTCGCTCTGCTATTCGCATGTGGAGTGGTTGCGTCAAGATCCAGATGATAAGTTGCATCAAGGCGACTCTTGACGTGCGTTTGTCAATCCAATGGTTGCTCTGCGCAGACTAATTGCTGCGCCACGGTGACGTTTGACACGAGTGTCCGCTGCTGCTATGCTGGTTTTCAATCTATTGGTTTATAGATGTTTATAGTGGTTTCTCTGCGCCGTCGAATTGCTCTTGGCTCTTCGGGACTTTTTCCTCTTTTGTGGAGTCTGGCGCTTGGCATTTTTCTTTAAACAAATCTTTTCAACGACGTTTCGAAACATACTGTACCTTTCTCATCTTTTGTCCTCAATGTCTCATTTGAGGCTGTTGGGGCTCTGATTTGGGAGTGTCTTACGGCTACAACCAAACAACAAGCAAGTCTTATTCCATAGTCAATAGTCAATGTTGTCTTCGCTGCAGTATTGGCTGTACTTTGAGAACGCAGCCGTTCTGATTGTTGGGGCCAAAAAAATCAGAATGTCTTGCGGCCACAACCAAGAACACCATGCACATCCTATCCCGTGCAATCTTGTACCATACTCAATGCGTTGCCTTCGCTGCCTTCGCTGTTGCCAACCCAACGCCATTCCGACCTATGTCCTAGAACACACACTGCTTGCGCCAGAAGGCCAAGACTGTTGGGGCTCCAATTTCAGAGAATCTTACGGTTGCAAGAAAACATTATGCAAATCTTATGCCGCGCAATCTTTTACCATACAGTACTCACTGCCAACTCAACACCATTCCAACCTATCCTGCGGAATAGTCAGAGGCACAGCTCTATTTCTACTCGTCAACATCCGACATCTTTGAAGCACGCCTGCACCAAGTCCAAGCCTCCCACCAAGTTCTTCAAGACTCAACACTTTGCTTTTGCTGTTGCCAACACAGCACATCTCCAATCTATGCCCTTCAGTATGCAGAGACCCTGCTCTACCTCTTCTCCTCAACTGCCGACATGTTAACGGTTAACGGTTAACGCAAACCTTCACAAACCCCAAACCTCTTGCCAAAACCCCCCATGCAGTCAGACCGGGATGGAACCAATACCCACCATCACCCACTTGCATCACCGTGCACGATCTGCAAAACAGAACTTTGTGACACCCTCGCCACGGCCTAATTTATCTAATTTCGCGACTGTTTGGCTTCTCTCAACGTTCTCCCCTCAGCCCCTACAAGCTGACTGTGTTGGCAATAAACAACCTCAGCCTAGTCCATGGCTAGCTATCGTGATAGAAAGGTGAAAGCGCAGCAGGGCTGAGAAGAACACACGACAAATCCCCGTGTGTGGTGCCTACGGGGGGTTGTGCCCAAATTTATCCCCGATAAATTTCTTGGGGCCAAGTTTTTTTCGGAATAAATTTCCATTCCCACAAAAGGGCACAACCCCCAGGCGTACATGGTACACAAAAAATATCCAGAATCAATTTTGGGACCGTGGGGGCAAACATCTCTGGACCTGGATAAAATTCCAGTGGCCAAGGTGCTGTTTATCCCTTTGCAAGTCTCCAACAAACACCGCTCCGAGAAACTCCACTCACTCTTTTCTTTGGTTGCAACCCCAGTGTCGCTGAATATTTTTCCATGGGACATCCCCCCTGAACTTTGAAAATACCAAAGTTGGGGCTAAATAAATTTCCTATATAGAGGGATAATTTTTCGGGCACAGGGTTAGGAAAAAATCCTGCCAGGACAAACCCGGTTACGACAATGGAGGGAATAGCAAAGAAAAGCAGAGAAGAATAGAGGGAAGGAATCAAATGTATATAGAGAAGAGTAGAGTAACCAAAGGCAGAGAAGAGTAGAGGAGAATAAAGAAAGAAAAATAGAGAAGAGTAGAGAAGGGCCGAGTCGGGGATAGGTAGAGAAGACTGGAAGAGGGCAGAGTCGAACAAAAGAAGAAAAAGTAGAACAAAAGCACTGTAGAACAAAACGAAAACTACAAATGAAACAGAAAGAAAGCGGAGCGGAGTAGGAAAACGTAGAAAAGAAGCGCGGAAAAGTACAAAATAGAAAAGTTGAGTAGGGACGAACAAAGGAGAAGCCGAGAAAAAGACCAAGAAATAGAAGAGATGAAAGGAAGAGGCAAGCTGGCTGCGGCTACGCGGCAGGCATGCAGCAAAACTCAGAAGGATTGACTGCAGTGAGATGATTCCTGCAGCAAGAGATCGCTGACGTTGCCAGAACCATCAGGCCATAAGGCAAGGCCGTAATGACGTTGGTCTCCAAGATCTGATCAACAGCAACCTCCTCAGAAACCTTTTCACTGAGCCACAGTGCGCGGTGTGTCTTGGCTTTGAAACACCACCTCAACTCTCACACGTGTTTGTATATAAGAGCACTTGGAAACTTCCGCAATCCGCCTTGTGCCAGCTCTGTACTTGTATGCTTACAATAGTAGAGGTGCTTATTTTCAGGCGCTCAATTTGAAGGCGCAGAAACACTGAGCTACAATGTAGACTGGTTAAAGCTGTGAGAGTCTGGGTGTTTCTGCAATCAAGTCCTCACAATAAGGGTCTATAAGACATGTCGGCGTATCGCATCCTCGCACACAAGCTTTCGAAGACAGCCTTCTGAAGCAAAGCCTACTCATCAGGTTCCCGCCTCCTCTGTCACTTCACTTGAAAGATCCGTTATTGGAACCTTTCGGATCGCATTTTCACCGTGCAAACACACCACAGTATTGAGTTGAAAAAGTAGAAGTGTGGCACTGTAGTGGCACGAGGTAGAATGAAAGTGAGCACAGACCCCTGCGACAAAATGAATAATCTACAACGAATCAGAAAGCATCAACTTATGTTACTGTACCTGCAGCAGAAGCTCTATGATGTTCTACATTCGCAACGGCGACGCGGGGCCACATACTATCAGAAGATTCCTTTGTGCATTGGCAGTAAGGCTCCAACCAAGCGGTAGACATCCACCCTTTGTTTGCCATCGGCCTGTCAAACACAGGGTGCAAACCGAACTTCTGAGGGAGAAACAGAGCAAAGGTTGCTGAGACTTCCAGCAGATCCTTGCAAGAGGTACTGTTAGGTTTACAGCAAGCCTCGTACTCCCCAGGTAGATTTGCTTGGCGGCTTTCACAAGAAAACTGCTCTATATGAACGATGGCTTTTAGCATCACCCCTTAAAGTTGTTCACGCTCAAGTCATTTCTGTTGTTCAGGCGATACCAACATTCAACATTTGTCAATGTCAATACATGTTATGTAATTGTATATATATATATATCTATTAATGAATAAATAAATCAATATATATATAATATATAATATATATATAATATATATAATATATATATATACATACAATTATATATATACATGTATATATGATTTTTATTATCATATTTGTTGCTGTTACTCCTATTAACTCTTATTTATCTATTAGTATGATTGATTATCATATACATCATGCCCAGAAGTTTGGGGGAAATAGCCAGACAGTCCACCTGCAATGATTTGCGCCGTTTTCACGGCTGGCACAAGTATTCTCTTGATATCTTTTGATTATATAAGGTGACCAGTGAACCAATTGTAAGCAAACACAGCGACAGACAATGTCTGAAGAAAACTAAAGACGCCTGGAGATCTGAAGGTCACTTCAACACGAACTGGGAGAAATCTAGACTTCTGGATACTGCAGGCGAAACTCCTCTGGAATTCAAAAATCCTGCGACCTGGAAGTTACTATACATGAATTATCACGACTCATGACTATAGAACAATGTAGTACAACACAAATGTGGTGACAGAAACAATTCATCCTGTGACTGACATTTAAGGCAGCTGCTGCACAATCCTCAAGCTGCATAACCTCGCGGAATTTCGCAAGGACCTCGAAGTCTAGAGGCGTTCAACACAACCGGAATAGGACGGAATTAAAGGACCGGATAACCCCACAAGTCAAGCTCTTCCAATCATCAGAAAAAGTGTTTGAAGCGGCACGGAGAAAGAAGAAAACACAAAGGAGATGGTGGAGGGTCAATCATGTTAAAATTGAAATCTCCAAAGTCTACGCTCTCTAAGGCATCTTGGAATTAAAATGTGCCTCAGTCACGTCATTGTGGCCAAAACCAAAATGCACTTAGGAATATGGAATTCACGTGGCTAAAAACTTGCGCCACCAGAAAACACACCTTCTTCCGTGCGCATTTTTGGTCTCCAGGCACGGCATATTCAAAATGCACCTGTCCCCATGTGTATTTTTGGTGTCTTAACGTTGTGTATTTTTGAAGATGTTTGGTGCATTTACGATGAGATTTTTGCTAAAAATGTATTTTCCCGAGAGCGTCTGAGCGCAGGGTTCTTCCAATAGTGCGGGTCTGTACAACATCTTCTCATTTTCACATCTTCTCATCTTCACATCTTCTCATCTTCACATCTTCTCATCTTCACAACTTCTCACCTTCACATCTTCTCATCTTCACATCTTCTCATCTTCACATCTTCTCATCTTCACATCTTCTCATCTTCACAACTTCTCATCTTCTCATCTTCACATCTTCACATCTTCTCATCTTCTCATCTTCACATCTTCTCATCTTAACATCTTCTCATCTTCACAACTTCTCACCTTCACATCTTCTCATCTTCACATCTTCTCATCTTCACATCTTCTCATCTTCACATCTTCTCATCCTCACATCTTCTCCTCTTGCCCTCTTGCCCTCTCCTTCTTTTCTATTTCTCTCTTGAAGGCGGGGGCAGGGGAAGTGCCAACGAGACGGCACGAAACGCAACCCTTTCGCACGAAATGAGGTTCGATCGCCAAAAACTGAAGTAAACTTGCGATTTCAACTTGTCCGGCGCAACCCTTTCGCACGAAACGAAGTCCGATCGCAAAAAACTGAAGTAAAATTGCGATTTCAACTTGTCCCGCGCAACCCTTTCACACGAAACGAAATCCGATCGCCAAAAACTGAAGTAAACTTGCGATTTCAAGGGTCCAATCGCAACCCTTTCGCACGTTCGATCGCCAAAAACTGAAGTAAAATTGCGATTTCAACTTGTCCGGCGCAACCCTTTCACACGAAACGAAATCCGATCGCCAAAAACTGAGGTAAAATTGCGATTTCAAGGGTCCAATCGCAACCCTTTCGCATGAAACGAGGTTCGATCCGAAAAAAGTGAAGTAAATTTGCGATTTCAACTTGTCCCGCGCAACCCTTTCGCACGAAACGAGGTTCGATCGCCAAAAACTGCGGTACAATTGGATTTCAAGGGTCCAATCGCAACCCTTTCGCATGAAATGAGGTTCGATCGCGAAAAACTGAAGTAAAATTGCGATTTCAACTTGTCCGGCGCAACCCTTTCACACGAAACGAAATCCGATCGCCAAAAACTGAGGTAAAATTGCGATTTCAAGGGTCCAATCGCAACCCTTTCGCATGAAACGAGGTTCGATCGCAAAAAAGTGAAGTAAATTTGCGATTTCAACTTGTCCCGCGCAACCCTTTCGCACGAAACGAGGTTCGATCGCCAAAAACTGCGGTACAATTGGATTTCAAGGGTCCAATCGCAACCCTTTCGCATGAAATGAGGTTCGATCGCGAAAAACTGAGGTAAAAATGCGATTTCCAAGTTGTCCGGCGAAGTGTGTAAAAGGGTCTGTGTGTAAAAGGGTCTGTGTGTAAAAGCGTCCGTGCGTAAAAGCTTCTTTGTGTAAAAGCGTCTGTGTGTAAAAGCTTCTTTGTGTAAAAGCGTCTGTGTGTAAAAGCGTTCGTGTGTAAAAGTGTCTGTGTGTAAAAGCGTCTGTGTGTAAAAGTGTCTGTGTGTAAAAGCGTCTGTGTGTAGAAGCGTCTGTGTGTAGACGCATCTGTGTGTAAAAGCGTCTGTGTGTAAAAGCGTCTGTGTGTAAAAGCTGCTGTGTGTAGAAGGGTCTGTGTGTAAAAGCTCCTGTGCGTAAAAGCTTCTTTGTGTAAAAGCGTCTGTGTGTAAAAGCGTCTTTGTGTAAAAGCGTCTGTGTGTAAAAGCGTCTGTGTGTAAAAGCTTCTGTGTGTAAAAAGGTCTGTGTGTAAAAGCGTCTGTGCGTAAAAGCTTCTGTGTGTAAAAGCGTCTGTGTGTAAAAGCTTCTGTGTGTAAAAGCTCCTGTGTGTAAAAGTGTCTATGTGTAAAAGCTTCTGTGTGTAAAAGCTTCTGTGTAAAAGCTTTTGTGTGTAAAAGCGTCTGTGTGTAAAAGCTTCTGTGTAAAAGTGTGTGCGATGCCAACTATTGTCTTGTACTTGTGCTATATTGTCTGGATACTCCTCTTCTCGTCATTTCTCGTCTGCCTATAACACATCTTTAATATATTGTTTTGTAATATGGTCTCCATACTAACAAGAGAAAAACCTGCTCCTCTACGCTCTCGGGCCATCCGTCGTCTAGTTTTTTACGCGTTTGGCACCTGTGTCTGGCCCAGGCGTATTTTTTTTACGCCTTGGGCACCTGTGTCTTGTGCAGGTGTATTTATTTTATGCGTGTGTGGAAATCGGACTTGCACGTTTACTGCGAGTGTATTTTCTTACCCGCACATTGTGCATTCTTTTTGGAAAGCGCATTTTTGGACTGCACCTGTGGAAACAAAAATCACACTTTTGCTGCAAGTGTATCTTGGCAGCACATGTTTTCCTAAGGTCAAGCGTACTTTTAATTGTTTTAAGATAGTTGGTCTCTACCGGGTTTGGAAATTTCAATGTTAAAAGTTGTATGTGAAGAGTTGTGTGTGTGTGAGAAAGTTGTGAGCAAAAGATTGTGAGTGAAAAAATGTGTGTGAAAGGTTGTCTGTGACAAAGTTGTGTGTGGAAGAGTTGTGTGTGTGTGACAAAGCTGTGCGTGAAAGATGGTGTGTGTGTGTGTGACAAAGTTGTGTGTGAAAGAGTTGTGTGTGACAAAGATGTGTGTGAGAGAGAGGTTGCATGTGAGAGAGATGTGTGTGTGTGTGAAAGATTGTGTGTGACAAAAGTTGTGTGTGAAAGACTTGTGTGACAAAGTTGTGTGTGACAAAGATGTGTGTGAGAGAGAAGTTGCATGTGAGAGATGTGTGTGAAAGATTGATACCCTCAGGTACTAGCTAGGGACCTTGGGGGTTGCACTGTAGACCCTAAACGCTGGGTCTATATACAATTGCCTGCAGTCAGTACGTAAAGATATGTAGACCTTTGGCCTGGTACAGATTTCTAGGTCTATTGTGGTTTTCTCCAGAATCAACCATGACATCACAGCAGCTCCCACATCCCAGCATTTTTTGCACGCTGAATCTTGCACCATGATATGTTTTTTGAAGCAAGGTTTTTTCATACCGTCAACTACGAGCAGGGACCCTTGAGGGTGATTCTAGAACCCCTACAGGGGTTCTACAATCATTTTCCTAGGGGGGGGGCCCCCGGGGATCAACTTGATGATGTTAGAACCTTGGCAGTTTGTGTTGGGGGGGTTCTGGAATCATATCATGGGGAATCAGGAATATGATCCTAGAACCCCTTCATTTTGGAGCCTTTCTGTTGTCAAAAAACGGAGTCAACAATTGCACCTAAGCAAAACCCGCAATCTCACAAACTCAATTCCCCGCCTGCTTCCTTTGCTCCCATGCTAATCCCCTTTTCCTATTTCAAACCCCCCTAATGAATAGAAATAGATCCCGGTTGTCATTTCCGGGAAATTTCAGGTTGGTCAATTTGATCTTTAATTAATCGCATTTAGAAAACATTTTTTGGGGTCAAGATCCCATTTGAGGGTTCATCTTATCATCTTAATACTAAAAACTGATTGGCTGGGACTGGTTATTACTCGCGTCCATGACATCATTTCATTTTTTGATTAGTACTTAAGGTTTCGATGTAGTTATCAGGGGAAAGCGTCGTAAGACAATGTTTGGCAATATGTCAAAAAAATGACATATAGTAGTAGTTTTAAAGTATGTCTTAATCTGTTTTAAAAAGAACTTTCTGGCACCTGAATCAATTTGTTATTTTCCAATTCTTGTTCAAGGATTTTGCAGGATTGGGAGGTCTAAAATCATATCTATGGGCCTTTGTGACGACAAATCCACAGAATGAGTTGGGAGATATCATTTCAGAACCTTGTGTAAATCTCAACCGTTTCCGAGTAATAATTAAATATAATTAAATCAACTTGGATTCCTCATTTTGGTTCAGAGGATTTTGCAGGATTGGGGGGTCTAAAATCATATCTTTGGGCCTTTGTGAAGACAAATCCACGGAATGAGCTGGGAGATATGATTTCAGAACCTTATGCAAAGAGTGATAAATCATATTGGTTTCTTCATTTTTGTTCAGAAGGTTGTATAGGAATGGTGGGTCTAAGTTCATATCCAAGGCCCTAGTGAAGATAAATCCACAGAATGAGTTGGGAGATATAATGTCAGAACCGTGTGTAAAACTCAACTGTTTCAGAGTAGTAATTAGTTTTAGTTAAATCAAATTGAGTTCTTCATTTTGGTTCAGAGGATTTTGCAGGATTGGGGGGTCTAAAATCATATCTTTGGGCCTTTGTGAAGACAAATCCACGGAATGAGCTGGGAGATATGATTTCAGAACCTTATGCAAAATTCAACCGTTTCAGAATAATAAATCAAATTGGTTTCTTCATTTTTGTTCAGAAGGTTGTATAGGAATGGTGGGTCTAAGTTCATATCCAAGGCCCTAGTGAAGATAAATCACAGAATGAGTTGGGAGATATCATTTCAGAACCTTGTGTAAATCTCAACTGTTTCAGAGTAGTAATTCATTTTAGTTAAATCAAATTGAGTTCTTCATTTTGGTTCAGAGGATTTTGCAGGATTGGGGGGTCTAAAATCATATCTTTGGGCCTTTGCGAAGACAAATCCACGGAATGAGCTGGGAGATATGATTTCAGAACCTTATGCAAAGAGTGATAAATCATATTGGTTTCTTCATTTTTGTTCAGAAGGTTGTATAGGAATGGTGGGTCTAAGTTCATATCCAAGGCCCTAGTGAAGATAAATCCACAGAATGAGTTGGGAGATATCATGTCAGAACCGTGTGTAAAACTCAACGGTTTCCGAGTAATAAATCATAGTGTTTGTACATTTTAGTTCAGAGGGTTGTACAGGAATGGCGGGTCTAAGTTCATATCTATTGGCCTGGTGAAGATAAATCCACAGAATGAGTTGGGAGATATCATTTCAGGACCTCTTGTTGCATTGGTGATTGGTACCTGGCATCCTGTTTTTTTATCTGCGTTTATGCACTTTGCATGTTTTGGTTCAGGAGGTTGCGCAGCCAAAGCGATAATTTCATATCCATGGTCCATGGCCCATGTGAACATAAACCTTCTTACACATAAAAACGACACTTTATCTTTTGGCGAACCATGTTCGGAAAAAAATAAAAGTGCCACAAATACCCGTAGAGTGCTATAAACACACGTAGAAATCCTACTCCCAAAAAATTGCACATTTTCCAATGACAAGAGTTCCGGGCACTTTGGACAGTGCCCAAAACGATGGGCACCAGGCTTTCCAGGTAACTACTTCCACATGATCCATAGATATCTGAAGTGGTCGGAAACAGCAAATTACAACATCAAAAAAAACAACTCTAGGAACCAAAACCTCCAGGGTTCTACAATGGGGGGAGGTCAGGGTTCTACAATCATATCGCGTACCCATTCTAGAACCCTAGAATTTACCCCCAGGGGGGGTACCCATTCTAGACACTTCGTACTTGAGGGTATGTTTTTTCCCCATCATTTTTTTATCTTGCTCTCAACAAGGCTGCCACAGATGAATTTCAAAAAAACATGATTTCTGGAATCATGGTCCCAGAGAAGTGCTTGTTTTGCACCAAAGCTGCTCAAGACGAGACTCCAAAAGGTCTACAATGCTGGTAGGCCAAAAGGTCTACAATGGGGGGACTGATGTCTTTAGACCTTTGGAAAGTCACCCCTGTAGGGTCACCTATTCTAGACCCTAAGTAGTTGAGGCTATAAAGATTGTGTGTGACAAAGTTGTGGGTGACAAAGCTGTGTGTGACAAAGTTGTGTGTTACAAAGTTGTGACAAAGTGGTGTTGACAAAGTTGTGTGCGATAAAGTTGCATGTGAGAGAGAGATGTGACAGATTGAGCGTGACAAAGTTGCGTGTGACAAAGTCGTATTTGAGAGAGATGGACTCACTTGCAGCGTGGGTATCACCAAGCGCCACGCCTGCCACGCAAAACGAAGGTGGATGTCGCCAAGTGCAAGTGGATGTCGCCAAGTGCCACACCTGCCACGCTTGCCAGCCCAGTGCCACAAGTGCCACTTCTGCCACGCGGAATGCACGTCGATGTTGCCAAGTGCCACACCTGCCACGCAGAGTGACGGTAGATGTCTCCAAGTGCCACACCTGCCACGCAAAGTGACAGTCGATGTCGCCAAGTGCTACGCATGCCACACAGAATGCACTTCGATGTTGCCAAGTGCCACCAGAGCCAGCCCAGTGCCTTAAGTGCCACGCTTGCCACGCAGAATGCACGTCGATGTCGCCAAGTGCCACGCCTGCCACGCAAACAGTCGCGGCGACCACGGCGCCAAACGGGGCCCAAGCGCGCTACCAGAGCCAGCCCAGTGCCATAAGTGCCACGCCTGCCATGCAAAGTGATGGTCGATGTCGCCAAGCCCCACGCCTGCCACGCAGAATGCACGTCGATGTCGCCAAGGGCCACGCCTGCCAGGCAAAGTGAAGGTCGATGTCGCCAAGTGCCACGCCTGCCAGGCAAACAGCCGCAGCGGCCACGGGGCCCAAGCGCGCCACCAGAGCCAGCCCAGTGCCATAAGTGCCACGCCTGCCACGCCTGCCACGCAGAATGCGCGTCGATGTCGCCAAGTGCCACGCCTGCCACGCAAACAGTCGCGGCGACCACGGCGCCAAACGGGGCCCAAGCGCGCTACCAGAGCCAGCCCAGTGCCATGAGTGCCACGCCTGCCATGCAAAGTGATGGTCGATGTCGCCAAGCCCCACGCCTGCCACGCAGAATGCACGTCGATGTCGCCAAGGGCCACGCCTGCCAGGCAAAGTGAAGGTCGATGTCGCCAAGTGCCACGCCTGCCAGGCAAACAGCCGCAGCGGCCACGGGGCCCAAGCGCGCCACCAGAGCCAGCCCAGTGCCATAAGTGCCACGCCTGCCACGCCTGCCACGCAGAATGCGCGTCGATGTCGCCAAGTGCCACGCCTGCCACGCAAACAGTCGCGGCGACCACGGCGCCAAACGGGGCCCAAGCGCGCCACCAGAGCCAGCCCAGTGCAGTAAGTGCCACACCTGCCACGCAAAGTGGAGGTCGATGCCGCCAAGTGCCACGCCTGCCACGCAAAGCGAAGGTGGATGTCGCCAAGTGCCAAGATGTGTGTGAGTAAGTTGTGTGTGAGCAAGTTGTGTGTGTGTGAGTAAGTCGTGTGTGGACAAGTTGTGTGTGAGCAAGTTGTGTGTGAGATTGTGTGAGTAAGATGTGTGTGAGTAAGTTGTGTGTGGCCAAGTTGTGTGTGAGCAAGTTGTGTGTGAGGAAGTTGTGTGTGAGAAAGTTGTGTGTGGACAAGTTGTGTGTGAGTAAGTTGTGTGTGAGTAAGTTGTGTGTGGACAAGTTGTGTGTGGACAAGTTGTGTGAGAGTAAGTTGTGTGTGGGCAAGTTGTGTGTGAGGAAGTTGTGTGTGAGGAAGTTGTGTGTGAGTACAAGTTGTGTGAGTACAAGTTGTGTGTGAGTAAGTTGTGCGCGAGTAAGTTGTGTGTGAGCAAGTTGTGCGTGAGTAAGTTGTGTGAGCAAGTTGTGTGTGAGTAAGTTGTTTGTGGACAAGTTGTGTGTGAGTAAGTTGTGTGTGGACAAGTTGTGTGTGTGAGTAAGTTGTGGGCAAGTTGTGTGTGAGGCAGGCGGCGGGCGGGAGGAGGAGGCAGGCGGGAGTGCACAACCAAAAACAAGAACCCCACACAAAGATGTGGGGAAAATCAAAGTCAATTCCATTGTTTGAAGAATCCAGCGAAGAATTCTAGACCATGGTGCGAAAACAAAGTCAGCTTCTGCTATCTAAATAATCCGCTCAGCACGGTTGTGACAGCTGCGGATACTGATGACCCGACATCTGTAGCTGTACATGGCCCCTCCAGCTGGACTGCGTGCACGCCTCAGGAACAACAATGACTCACACCAGATCTTTACGTACTGCCCGCAAATGGCCAGCAACCCAAACAGTGCGAGCCTTTAGCGTTCATATCTGATTATCTCATTGCAATCGCTTAATGCTGAGTTGATCCCGTCATACAGTATTTTGGCAGCCTTCCGCAAACAGAATTGACCTAGAATTTGTCTGCCTGCAGAAGTTTTGACAAACATTGACACAACACTTGGTGTCCGGCCCCAAAGCACGTTTACCATGGCACCTTTCCTGTCTTTGGACAAGCAGTGCCCAAAATTGAGTCAATGCCCTTCAAAACTTTAAAACCCGTCAGCTGGTCGGGAAATCATCACTCTCTTGATCGATATATAAGTATTGATAAGTATTGATCACAATACTCATCACAATGATTCTTGTTTAACCAGCTGGTAGAAGGTCAACAAATTGAGTGCTCGAGTCGAAAGCAGGTTAGCGCCCCCATTCTGTTAGAATGGAACTAAGCAAGCATATCGTGCACGTGTAATTACCCCTGGGCGTCCTTGGCAACTGCAAAAAATCTAAGAAATCCTTGATGTTTTGCTGCTTTGCTTAAACTTTTTCGCCCGGACCCCACCTGTCACGCACCATTTAACATCATTCGGTATGATGCGGCATATGTATGAACATGTATGGATATGTCAACACCCATTCATCTTGACATTGGCCCGAGGAGATCAGCAAGGGTAAAACTTCACATTCATTTGGAAGAACAAGAGGGGTATTCAGAAATTTAAAGAAATATAAACTCTCACCCCTGTTAAAATTCCATTCCATTGGGAAGATCAAGACGGGTATCAGGAATATAAACTCTCACCCCCGTTAAACTTCACATTCAATTGGGAAGATCAACAAGGATATCAGGAATACAAACTCCAACCCCGTTAAACTTCACATTCAATTGGGAAGATCGAGGAGGGTATCAGGAATATAAACTCCCATCCCCGTTAAACTTCAAGAAAGGCACTGGGAACCTAAACTCCCACACTCCGTTAAACTTAAACTACATTCAATTGGGAAGATGATAATGTAGTGGTGGTAGTAGTAGTGGTGGTAGTAGTAGTAGTAGGTGGTAGTGGTAGTGGTAGTGGTAGTGGTAGTGGTGGTAGTGGTGGTAGTGGTGGTAGTGGTGGTAGTGGTGGTAGTTGTGGTAGTAGTGGTAGTAGTAGTAGTAGTAGTAGTAGCAGTGGTGGTAGTAGTAGTAGTTGTTGTTGATGATGATGATCAAAATCATGATCACGAATCATGATCATGATGATGGTGTGCAAGACAGCTGCACAGCTCCCTATGCCGTGCGTTCCGGTATAAACACCCAGATAGCGACAGGCGACGATGCAAATTGGTCCTATTTTTTACTACGTTTTCAGCTGGTAAGGACGACATTGTCACCAGTCGGGCAAGATGAGGGGTAAAACTCTGTGACTGCTAGTGTAGTCACGGCTAGTCTCACAAACTCTCCAAACTGTCCAAACCATCCAAACCTGCATCCTCCTCCAACTGGGGATCGGGCGGTCGCACCCACGGTCACGCCCGTGCCCGCAAGTCAAATGGAACTATGATTTTCATGAGGAAAAGCGGATCGTGTTGAGGGGTTGCTTGAAGCTTTGGATAGATTTTTATGTTCTGCGCCATGCAATCGTACATTCATTTACAGAGCCATCATACCTTTGCCAATTCACCAATCGGAGACATGGCTTTTGAATTCATCCCAACCAATGCAGTAGTGGACATGGCAAGAAGAAAGGAGACCACCCTCATACCTTCACAGCATGATCTTGATCCTTCCTTTGTGTGTTTTCAATGGGAAGCGACCAATACACCATGATGAGAGATGATGAGTGATCTTGGACCTTACAGGAATACGCTTTATTCTTCCTTCAACTTCTTTGGCTGCCGAATGACACAATCCCAACATTGTATTGGCTGCAAGCCACTCGCGTCGTCTGGACCAAAACGCACACCTGAAAACACCAAACATGATAATTCCTGGAAAGGGACTAGTCAAATGCAAAGAAATCTTCCAGAAGCATGCAAAACAAAAGTTGCAGCCCAAACTGATTTCAATCTGGTTGGGGCTTGCTTGAATCGGTAGCACAAGTCCAGCACGAGCAATTCTCATCAAAGATCTGGGAAGGAATCCAATCGGCTAATGGTCCGAAGATAGCTGTACCATGCCGCACATATAGTAGACATACATAATACATACCACACTCGTGCATACATGTCCCATCGTGCACCTACAAGTACGGTCGCGCTGGCATCCCTATACCCGATCAATCCTTTTCGCAACGCGGCGAAACATAATGCAGAGGAGAATACGCACATGCCAGAAAGCTCTTGGGGATCTGTTGCAAAGCAACATCGAGCAGATATGCGCATCTCTGTCTACAGCATTCAGGGCACGCAGCCTTTCACTGAACCTTGGTGAGATGCGCATTGCAAGCAGCTACTGCTGGGACAAAAACAACCGGAAAATGCAAAATCTAATATGCATGTATAGTTATAGTCCAGTAATAGTACCTTCTTATGATCAAACTTACACACAGATATACTATGATATACTAATATGAAAATCCTGAAGCCTATCAGATCTATCATTGAAACCAATAGTAAACGAATGCGAACCATGGGTCATGGCAATCTTCGGCTTCTGTTGTTTGAGGACTTCTCGGTTCTGTCAAGCTTCTGCGCAAAGACGTGTGAAGTTGATATTCCGACGGTAGTAAAGAATTTTTGCGTGGGTCATGCAAAAAACTCACAGGCTTCTTGCAACATTGACGAAACACTAGAGATAGTTTGCCAGCAAGCGGATGCATTCTGCCTCTCACTGTTGACTTCATTCCTCTCTGATGTGCCGCATTCAGTGTCCTCTTGTAGATTACAGGGGTGAGGTTGTGTACCAATATTTGTAAGGACACTCGGGGTAGGTCACAAAAATGGCAATGCTCAACCTTAGGCTTTGTAAAATAGGTTACAAACTACAAAACATGATTTCTGCATATTTTTGTGCTGACTGAAGCTACCCGACTTCACATATGGGTCACTTCCTGGGGCTAAATTTTTATAAATTGCTGGCCAGCCAGCCACTTGTTGATGCGGCCGAGTGGCATGTAGAACCAAGCGTGGGAGGATGTTCATGGTCATCAACTCTTGGATCATGAGCTTGCACGCGTACCTTTTCTGATGTGTGATTTCACTTTGCTTCACCATGTCTGATGGGGCAAGATAGAAAATCATCCATTTTTTGCTTGGAAGTTCAAGGGGGGAAGCATTTGATAATGAATATGTACCGAAGTAAGATGTACAATTCAGATCATGACCTACTTAGAGTTGTAAGCAAGAGCACATTAAAGGTTAGTTCCTCAATTCCATATTTCAGTTCCTGAACAATTCCTGAAGCAAGGACTCGTAATTCCTGAGCTGAGGATTTGAAGTTCCTGAACCGTAGTTCCTTAAGAATGGATAGTTCCTGATGGAGTGATCTTTCATATTCAAACATGTTGTACATCGTTGCACCACAGCATATCAAAACATCATAATTACAAAGTGTGAGTAAGTGCTTCGCAACACCACACAAGTTCAGCTTGAAAGCACACCAGGACCATTGCAATTCTGCCCTATCGAAGATCCGAAAAAACAACCAAATAACATTATAGAATCACGTCATAGAATAATTTTTATCTATTGCGACCTCCTAGCACGTAGATTTTTTCCCAAAATTTGCATCGCAATATCTGCGATTTCTAAGTGCTAGAAAAAACGGTTTAGAATCGTTTCATAAACATTTCTAAGACATAGAATTGTTTTACACATAGCGGTAAAAGAAAAATCAATAATATAACGCAAAATAATGTACAGCAATATATATATACATATATTAAAACATATTGTAATATAATAAAACATAATACAATATAATATCGTTTAATATAAAATTGAAATAAAATATAATATCAAACATGTTATAATAATAAAACATATAATGTAATAAAATGCCAAAGAATAGAATATAGCACAACAAAAAATAATATACTTTAAACATATAATACAATCTAATAACATACATAATAAAATAGAATATAATATAGTATACATTAAAACATAAAAAACTAAAAATAACATAATATTATTTGATAAATAAAATGTAATATAATATCATACAACGCACTATAAATCAAAATCAAAACAATAAATCATATTATGATATAGGTTAAAATATAATAATGTAAAAATACACAAACATTATTTAATGTAATATAATCTAATAGAAAATAAAACGCAACAAAATTAAAATATAAAAAATAAATAGACATTAAAACACTGAATTAATATAAACATAATACAATTTGATAAAACATGTGCTATAATATGGTGTAATATGTTATAAGATCGTATAGTACAATAAATCAAAATTCAACAAAATAAAATATGATATGTTAAATTCAAATAATATATAAATATATATATATAAATAATATAGTATAATATACTACTGATAATTACAACAGAACCAATTATGATTCCCTTACAGGTTGCCTTCGCTGCGCTGCCACGCCAGGGCACGGAAGGCAAATCTGCGAAACTTTGGCTTTATCCTGATGACTGCCGAAAGCACAGGTGAAATCATTCAAATGATTCAAATGCACAGCTTAAAGCATCTTAAAGCCATCATAATTGATCAGCAAACTTCCAAACTATTAGAAGTGGACAATTCAAGGATCAATCTTGGATCAAAGGCCCGCCCATTCAATTCGAGTGGCCATGGCATGCCAGACTTCCGTCATCCAAATTACAGTTTGAGTTTTGACGGGGTGAGGGTAAGCCATCAACCCTTCTGAACTACCTGAGTGCCACTCGGATCCTCACTATTTTCCCATTTGTAATTCGCACAAACAACTTCTGGGCCACGTTGTGTGCGGAGAAGACTTGAAGAGCAACTGAATGAATATATTCCTTCCAACATCTTCCAACCCCATCGGGCTTGAGATGGGAGATTCTTTACGGCCCCCCTCTCTGTCCTTGCAAAGCTTGCACTCATAGGTGTCATTGTTGAGCTTTGCAATTGCGAACAAGCCGCACCTCACCAAGCTTTAAGCTTTGCGCTTCAACACGAAGGTATTCCAAGTGAGAAAAGCAAATGGCACTATTATCCAAACATATTCAGACAGGCCCAAATAATAGCTGAGACGTGATCCGGAGAAGAGATCTGCAGAGTTGGTTTCGACCCGCGAAACCCGAAACCCGAAACCGACTCTGAAGACTTGACTTCCCCAGGACCGATTGAAACCCGAACCCCGAAACTGACTTTTAAGACTTGGTTTCCCGAGGATCGGCCGAAACCCGAAACCGACTACAAAAGTTGGTTTCAAATTACGAAACCCGAAACCGACTATCAAAGTTAGTTTCACACTACGAAACCCGAAACCGACTCTGACTTGGCTTCCTGAGGATCGATCGGCCGAAACCCAAAACCCGAAACCAGAAACTCGCAACCGACTGCTGAAGTTGGATTCAAACTACGAAACCCGAAACCCGAAACCGACTGTTAAAGTTGGTTTCAAAAACTACGAAAACCGAAACCCGAAATCTACCTAATCTAATCTAGTCTACCCAATCTAGTCTAATCTAATCTACCTAACCTAATCTACCTAATTTAATCTAATCTAATCGAATCTAATCTATCTAACCTAATCTGATCTTATCTAATCTACCTAATGTAATCTACCTAATCTAATCAAAGCAAATCTAATTATAATCTAATCTAATCTAATCAATATAATCCAATTCTAATCTAATCTACCTAATCTATCTAATCTAATCTACCTAATCGAATCTTAATCTAATCTAATCTAATCTATCTAATCTAATCTAATCTAATCTAATCTACCTAATCCAATCTAATCTACCTAACCCACTCCAATTCCATTCTAATCTAATCTACCTAGAATCTAATCTAATCGAATCCAATCTAATCTAATCTAATCTGATCTACCTATTCTCTAATTCTAATCTAATCTGAACAAATCTAAATCTACCTATTCTAATCCAATTCTAATGCAATCTAACCTAACCTAATCTAATCTAGTTCTAGTCTAATCTAACCCAATCTAATCCAATCTACCTAACCTAATCTAATCTAATCTAATCTCCCTAATCTAATCTAACCTAATCTAATCTGATCTATCTATCTAACTAATCTAATTCTAATCTAATCTATCTAACCCTAATCTAATCTACCTAATCAAATCAGATTCTAATCTAACCAAATCTAATCTAATCTAATCTACTCTATCTAATATAATCTGATCTACCTATTTTCTAATTCTAACCTAACCTAATCTAATCTAATCTAATCTAATCTGAACTAATCAAATCTACCTAATCTAATCCAGAACTAATCAAATCTACCTAATCTAATCCAGTTCTAATCTAATCTAATCTACCTAATCTAATCCAATCTACCTAATCTACCTAATCTACCTAATCTAATCAAAGCAAATCTAATTCAAAACTAATCTAATCTATATAATCTAACCTAATCTAATCTAATTCCAATCTAGTTTCATCTATCTAATCTAATCTAATCTACCTAATCGAATCTAATTCCAATCCAATCTCATCTACCTAATCTAATCTGCCTAATCCAATCTAATCTACTTAATCCAATCCAATTCTAATCTAATCTATCTAATCTAATCTAATTCTAATCTAACCTAACCTAATCTAATCTACCTCATCTAACCTAATCTAATCTACCTAATCTAAGCTAATCTAATCTAATCTTTTCTAATCTACCTAATCTAATCCAATTCTAATCTAATCTACCTAACCTAATCTAATCTACCTAATCTAAACTAATCTGACCTAATCTAATCTATCTAGTCGAATCTGACCTCATCTAACCTAGCCTAATCTGATTCTAATCTAAACTTATCTAACCTAATCTAATCTAATCAAATCTAAATCTAATCTAATATAACCTAATCCAATTTGTCTATCTAATCTGTCTAATCTTATCTCATCTAGATCTAACCTGATCTAATGTAATCTGATCTAATATATCTAATCTAGCTAATCTATTCTGATCTGATCTGATGTAATCTATCTAATTAAATCGAATCTACCTAACCTAATCTAATTCTAATCTAATCTATCTAGTCTAACCTAATCTAATCTAATCAAATCATATCAAATGATATCAGAGCATATTATATCATATCAAATCTAAGTTACTAATCTAATCTAATCTAACCTAACCTAATCTATCTGATCTAATCTGATCTGATCTAATCTAACCTAATCTATCGAATCTAATCTAATCTAACCTAACCTAATCTACCTAATCTAATCTAATCTACCTAATCTAATCCAATTCTAACCTAATCTAATCTCTTTCTAATCTAACCTATCTAATCTAACCTAATCTAATCTACCTAACCTAGCCTAATTCTAATCTAGTTTAACCTCTCTAATCTAATGCAATCTAATCTACCTAATCTAATCTAACCTAATCTAAACTACCTAATCTAATCAAATCTAAACTAATCTATCCAATCTCAAACTAATCTAATCTAATTTAATCTACCTAACCTAATCCAATTCCAATCTAATCTACCTAATCTAATCTAACCTAATCCCATCTATCGAATCTGATCCAATCTGATCTTGTCTAATCTAATCTAATCCGCCTAACCTAATCTATTCTAATCTAATCTCATCATTCCATATCGAAACATATCATATCATATCTATCTAACTAATCTGACCTAACCTAATCTATCTAATCTAATCTAACCTAATCTTATCTATCTAATCAAATCTAATCTTAATCTAGCCTAATCTAATCTAATCTACCTAATCAAATCTAATCTACCTAATCTAGTCTAATCTAATTCAAATCTAATCTAATCTATCTAATCTAATCGAATCTACCTAATCTACTCTACCTAATCTAACCAAAGCAAATCTAATTCTAACCTAATCAAATTTATATAGTCTAATCTAATCTAATCTACCTAATCGAATCTAATTCTAATCTAATCTAACCTATCTAATCTAATCTACCTAATTCAACCCAATTCTAATCTAATCTAATCTACCTAATCTAATCCATTTATAATCTAATCTATCTAATCTAATCTAATCTACCTAATCTAATATCTATTTTTAATCTAATCTAATCTACCTAATCTAATCTAATCTAATCCTAATCTAATCTAACCTAAGTCTCACCTAATCTAACCTAATCTAATCTACCTAATCTAATCTAATCTATTCTATCTAGTCGAATTTAATCTACATAATCTAATCTAATTCTAATTTAATCTAATCTATATAATCTAATCTAACCTAATCTAATATAGTCTAAACTAACCTAATCTAATTCTAATCTAATCTAACCTAATCTAATCTATCTATCTAACCTAATCTAATCTAATCTAATCTATCTATCTCACTTATATAATTCTAATCTAACCTCTAATCTAATCTACCTAATCTCATCTCATCTCATCTAATCTAATCTAGTCTATCTAATCTAATCTAACCTAATCTAATCTATCTAACCTAATCTATTCTACCCTAATCTAATCTATCTAATTAGTCTAGGAAACCCGAAACCCGAAACCCGAAACCGACATCTGCAGTGAGTGTCGACCTACGAAACCCGAAACCCGAAACCGACATCTAAAGTTATAATCGACGAAACCCGAAACCCGAAACCGACATCCGACATCTGACATTGGTTTCTGCCTACGAAACCCAAAACCCGAAACCGACATCTGAAGTTGGTTTCGACCTACGAAACCCGAAACCCGAAACCGGCATCTAAATTTGGTTTCGACCAGCGAAACCCAAAACCCGAAACCCGAAAACGACTCGAATCCGACTTTTGAGGTAGCTCTCCGGATCGGAACTCCAAATAGCTGTTTGTGAAATCAGCGTGAAGAAAGCAAACCAGTGCACAAGTCAAACACGCACCATCAGGACAGTAAGGTGCATACAGCTCTGTCAAATATATATATATATAACTTCGCACAAACACACACACGCACACACAAACAAACAAACCAAACCAAACCAAATCAAACCAAACCAAGCAAAACACATAAACGCACAAACAAACAAACAACAAACAACCAACAAACAACCAACAAACAACCAACAAACAAAACAAACAAAGAAACAAAGAAACAAAGAAACAAAGCAACAAAGAAGCAAGCAAGCAAGCAAGCAAAGCAAAGCAAAGCAAAGCAAAGCAAAGCAAAGCCAAGCCAAGCAAGCAAGCAAGCAAGCAAGCAAGCAAACAACACCTTTTCGCACCTTTTCAGAATGTCTGGCAGCCTCGGCCCGGTGGCGGAAGCAAGCGAGAAGCCCGGGGTGGAATGAAAGTACTGTCCCAACAATTGTTGTGCTGGGTTTCGCCCCAAATGGCCCCCTTTGTTGGAATCAGCCACTGAATTGCACAGCCATCCTGCATTTTGACGCTGAGCGGGGCTGCCACCATCACGTTGACAGCCCTCTTAGTTGGAACAGAAAAGGACTGCAGCCGGCAGCAAATGTTATCAACACCACGTAGCACATTGCCCTGTATTCCATGAGAACAACCCAATGTTGGCGAGCGCAGCCAGAGGAGTTGCTGCCAATGACAATGTGCCACTGCAAACTGGGTCTGTGGAAAATTCGGCAAAGCTGTTGATCTTCCCGGTGGGTACAACTCAAATCGCTGCTCTCTCGAGAGGAACCACAGCGCTGTACAAGCGTAAAAACTGAAGAGAAAAGTGGCTCTGTACCGCCACGCTCTGATTGCTTGAAGGTGTCAGCTGGAATGCGACTGTGAACGGAATGGGCGTGAAATTGGCATCCCAACAAGCGAGGTCTTTCACTGTAGGCATGGCTGCCCACGACAGTCTGTAGTCAGCAAAGGCATCCTGCCATCCGCAGCTGGTCAATGTGGTGAGCCATTCGCGATGCTGGCGCCACAAGCTTGCCAGTGGAACGCCCCTCCTGTTCTTGAGAAGCAGCGTGGAAACATGTTGGCTGGGCCTGCTGATATCCAGCCACTGCAAATGTGCACACGACAGAATGCTGTCCCCTTTCTGTCCAAAAGCACAGGTGGTGACCTCTTCATCGGCCCCGCGTGAAGACGCCATCCAAGTGTTAAGCAACCCATTGTGAAGCCCTGTCGCTTCAGCAAGTAAAATGTTTGCGCCCCCGTGTCGTGCACGGGCCAAGTCAGGTGTCAACAAGCCAAACCTCAATCCATGGATGATATGAAGGACGGACGGAAGGTCCCCTCAATAGCCAGAGCACACAACACGAGAAGGATAGGCTCATAGCAAAGCCCAAAGATTTGGAACCGGCCATGGCAAACAACCCCCTCGAGGCATCAGTAAGATCAGGTGCACCGCTGGAAGGAC